CACATCTTGGGCCTGGGGATTTAGCTCAGTGGTAGAGAGCTTGCCTAGCAAGCACAAGGCCCTGGGTTCAGTCCTCAGCTCTGGAAAAAAAAGAAAGAAAGAAAAAAAAAGCCACATCTTTAAAAACAAAAATTTGATAACAGAAGAAAGGTGCTTTCACAGCACATTCTCCACATAACACAAAGCAGAGCCCATGAGAGGTGCCATGGTCCCGCTCTGGCGTTCTGCTCCTTAAGTGTTAACAATCACGATGAGGGACAAAAGCCTAGGTGTGTGAGCGAGCGAGGCCCTCAGACCACTTAACATGGATTTTTCAACCATGTAAAGTGTCCAACAGCTGTGCAGAGTGGTGGACACCTGGAATCCCAGCATTTGCCAAAGGGGTGGGAGTTAGAGGGGGGATTAGAGGTGAGCCTAAGCCACATAGAAAGACCTGTCTCAAGAACGTATGTTCTGGGTTTTTTGTTTGTTTGTTTGTTTATTGTTTGTTTTGTCGAGACAGAATTTATCTGTATAACAGCCCTGGCTGTCCTGGATCTCACTCTGTAGACCAGGCTGGCCTTGAACTCACTAAGATCCACCTGCCTCTGCCTCCCAAGGGCTGGGATTAAAGGTGTGCGCCACCACGCTTGGCAAGAAGAACATGTGTTCATCACACCAATGAACAGTCCCTGCAACCAAGATTTCCCTCACATCCAACTTCCCTTGAGCTCTTAAATCCAATCTACCCCTTTGCTCTTTCTGTACCCAAAATGTCCCTTTATTATGATTAATGCCCCCCCCCCCCATATCCTCAACTGCGCCCTGGACAGCGCATCTTCTTAGGCTTCCCCCACAGTTTCGGGCACTCTTTTCTTTGGTATATTTTTCTTGGAAAGGCTTTTCCTCCCTGGAGCTCTGTGATGCTGCCCCATCCCGGTCAGCTTCCAGCGCTTTAAATCTGAACCTTTTATGAACGTAAACTATGATGCTCTCCTTCATTCCTTCGCTCTCCCTTTCAGTTCTGTGTTGAGTGACCATCTTGTCATGTTTCTAGATTCTCCGACCCCCGATCTAAAACTAACTTACGGCCTTTCCCCCTGTTCGCCCCGTAAACAGTTTCCCTCTGCATGATAATCCTAATCTACAGAACACGGTCCAGGCTCCTCTGGTGTGACTCCCGTGACGCACTGCAACGGAACATCCTCCCCGCTTCCCACTGCCGTGACCTCCACTTGCTGTACTCCCTGCCTTCGACAGTTTTACCCATGGGTCACTCCTCAGCCCATCTGCTTCATCTAGATGATGAAGTCACGGCGCTTTGATGACTCACGGTGACACTCACCCCATATTCTCGTCTCGGAACTTCTGGATAACTCAGACATGTACCTCTAGCTTTCCCGTGCTGGACTTCTAAGCATAAGGCCCTGTCTTCCTTCTGGGCCGGAGAGTTTCTTGAGGTTAGGACTTCTATCGTATCTGTATACATGCACGGGGTCCTAGGTGTTCTGTTGCTGTGATAAACCCTGACCACAACCCTTCTGTGGAGGGAAGGGTTTATTTGGCTCACAGCTCATCATTAAGCAAAGCCAAGGCGGGAACTCACGGCACATCCCTGCAAGCACGCACAGACGTAGAGGCCATGGAGGAACGTTATTACTGGCATGCTCAGCAGCCCTTCCTATACGGTCCACCTGCCCAGGGGTGGTACCACCCAAAGTGGGCTGGGCTCTTATTACCGTTAGCAATTAAGAAAATGCCCACAGGCATGCCCACATGGCATTCCGGTGGAGGTGATTCTTCAGTTGAGGCTTTCTCGTCTCAAGTGTGTGAGGCTGACAGCCAAGACTAGCCATCACACACAGCTTGTGTATTCCAGGCACTCTGTTGACCTAAGTGGAAATTACTTCAAAAGCTGGTTTGCATTGGGTTCTTCTGTCTCTCGTTCTTCCATCAATATTGATTATCTTAACTAATGTTAGTGGTAACCATCCTGTGTACGGTCTCCTTGCCTCTGCTTTAGTTCATGTCTAATCGTCATCAGTTCCAAGCTCCCCAATACCTGTTCTTCAAAGGTCTCCCACTGCACCTCCACAAACACAGCCTCCTGGCAGTAACGCGAGGCTGTCACTTAGGCCATTTTGATGCTGACAAAAGGATTAAGCCCCATCCCACGGGCACTGGGGTCTTCCATATCTTAGCCCCCGACCTGTGCAGGATGACCTCTTAACATCAGCGGACTGTAGGGAAGTTGGAGCATTTCCTTTTCTGGAACTCATGTGATTCTAAGTCCAGGGACCTTCCTACACCTTTTAGGTCTCTTAAAACCATTTCAACAGATTGCTGACGGCAATGCTGAAGAATCCTGGTCACAGATGTGAAAAAACCGACCAGAAAGGTTCAGGTGATAACTCTTCTACATGGAAGAGGCCAGTGTTGCTCTGGGCTGTGGCCAGATCTGGGGCAATGCTCCGTGTCTTACGGTTCTGGGCGACTGTCTTACTACTGGTTCATGCTTAGAGCATCTTTACAGACAGCGTTGGTACAGAATGGGCCTTCTCGAGCTTCCAGTGCATATGCGTATAGGGAACAGAAGGCTGTAAGAGCCAGTTTGTGTTTAGACAATATGGCGCTGATACGGACATCCAGTACAAGTTAGCTGGACATGGCCAGGGGTGGCTGTGTGGTGTTAGCACAAAATGGCTGACACCAGATGTCTGGGGACCCGAATCAACAGTGACGTCATCTGCTACATAACTATTTTTGGCAGAGTGCCACTTTTGTGTGGCTTCTGTGTGAACACAGCCTTGAGGGCAGAGTCATAGGCAGCCTGCCTGTGTGTGTGTGTTTTTCTGTAGCCCAAGTGTGCCAGCACGTGCCTGGGTGCTTGCTGGTGAGGGCCTTCTTCTGGAATGGAAAAATATGTCTTATGGGTCTACAACTCCTCAAAAAACTCCTTAACCCCCCAGCCTTTCATTAGCCCTCTTCAGAACACAGACCTGGCAGCATGGGACCCCTGGGGGTTCTTTTTGAGCTGCGAAGTCTGTAGCTCCAGGGCCGCCAGGCGATGTTCCTAACACGGTCCACGGGCCACAGTTTGTGTCATACGGTTAAAAATGATCTAGTGAATTCCGTGTGGAAGTTGAGATGTAAGCCCAGGTCTGTCTAACTCCATATGGTCTCGTGTTTCTACAACACCTGAATGAAAAAACGAACTGTACTTAAGCCGGATGATTTGGGATAAGAACTCACCGCAGTGTTAATTTAGAAGAATTTAGAGAATAAGGAAGGAGATACATTCAGCTAGAAAAAAAATTTTCCCCAAGAAAAGGTGGTGACGGGGGATAAAGAGACTAAGAATATGAAATAAACGAAAAAAATCACGCAAAGTAAAACACAGTGACAGGAACAGGAAGAGCCCAGACCTACCACTCACGAAATGGTAACACCAAGCACACGGACACGCTCACTACGTGTCTCTGACCAATCGGGTCATGGTGACAACCACAACTGACATCGTGGGGCAGAGGGGTGGGGTCCACTCTCCATCTCATCAGAGTCCAGGTGAAGAGCCAAGTCTGCCAGCTCCAGAGCCAAGCCAGGGTCACAGCAGCCCAGGAGGCTGGACCTGAGCACCAGCCTGGGACCAGAACTGCATCTCCGTAGTGTTTGTGGCCGCAATACTGCAGACTTGTGAAGCCTGGGGTGTCTCCCCTCTGCCGCAAACACGACGCTCTACAGAAAGTGTGTTCGTCCTGCGTGGTCCATAGAACCCCGAGAGCGTCTTAGGCCGTAGGGCAGTAAGCACTGTTTGGCTCGAATACAGGTACCCACTAAAGGGTCTGAAGACACTTTGTCCTGTACGTCATATACTCCTGAAGTCTGGTAGCACCATGACACCCGTCCAGCTTCCTCCAATGTCCTGCTACGCATCATTCTAGGCGGCTCTAAAGCCCCTCTAAGGTGACAAGGCCAGGGTCCCTCCCTTCTGATGTCACGTGCTCAGTGCATGGTGTTGGATGTTGATATCCTTACCTAATATGGACTTTCTTTGCTTTTTTTTTTAATAAAATTTTTTTAAATTTACTATTTTTCCATTGGAGCCTAAGGTTTTTATAACTATTGTTGAGGCAATTTTTCTCTTTCAGAATTGTCAATTCATCCCCCCAACCCCCTAATTTCTCTCCAGTACTAAGGATCAAATCTAGGACATGCCAGGCAAGCACTGTATTTACATCTCTCTTTTTATTAATGGCCATGTTTTACTCTGTAGCTCAGGCTTGCCTCCTGCTTACATCCTCCTGCCTCTGCCTTGCAGGGGCTGGGGTTCCAGATGAGTGGCATGAAGTCTGGCAGGACTGGAAATAACCGGATGAAACCATAAACAAGCTCTAATGCGCAGAGCCGGTGGTTATAGACTATAGCTAATTCAGAGGGAGCTGGTTTTTCAGTGAGTTCCCTGAAAGTCATCTTTTCTTGGCCTCTAACGTGTTAGGGAAAAACAAAACAAGACACTGAGGGCCTGCTTATATTCTTCTGGAACTTAATTCAAATCACAGGGCGTCTCCTGATATCTCTAACACCCAGCTGGAGATGCCCAGGGCACAAGGTTTTTTATTTTATGTGTTCAAGCATTTTGCTGGATGCGTGTGCACATGCTCTCTGTCACGCAGTGACTTCGGAGGCCAGAAAACACTGTTGGATCCGCAGGAACTGGTTGACAGCTGTCATGTGGGTGCTGGGAACCAAACCTAGGTCCTCTTAACCTCTGAGCCGGCTCTCCAGACCCCGAGGGTATTACAACTACACACGGATGGCTTTCCGGCATAACGGTGAGTACCCTCGCCTCCCTGCTTCTTACGTTCCTCGTGGCTCCTCCTCCCGACCCTAGGCAGTGACAGACACCAGGGCCTTGCTCACCCTGGGCAAGCCCTCTGCCTCTGAATCCATCTCCAGCCCCAGCTTTGTGCACTTTGAAATAAACAGAAAGCACACAACACGCGAAGCAGCACCTCACATACCTGATCAAACTGGGGGTCTTCTCCACGCTGCAGAGATTTTGTCAGTGGCTTTTCCTACAACAACAACAACAAATAACATATACAAAAGTAATTATGGAGGATTATAACACTGTAGTAGAAATATCATTATTGTTATAATTTTCTCATTCACTTTTTTCCCTTTATGGCACAAGTGATGCTTGTTTTTAAATAAGCTGAAAGGTATTCCTCTGCTAGCCTGGCCTTAACCTTCATTGCTGAATGCAGGAGGAAGGCCCAGCCCTGTGGGGGCGTGGGGCGTAGGGGTGGGGCTATTCACTGGGCAGGTGGGTCTGGGTTAGACAAGACAGGTAGCCGAGCGAGCCATGGGAAACAAGCCAGGAAGCGGTGATGCTCTGTGGCCTCGGCTTCACTTCCTACCACGGCTTCTCTTGACATTGAACCTGTTCCTTCTCCAAGTCGGTTTTGGTCAGTGATTTCTCACAACAGGAAGCTAACCAGTACAGGAGTACAAAAAAACTGTAAAAGTTATATGAGTGGTGTGCGTGTGTGTGTGTGTGTGTGTGTGTGTGTGTGTGTGTGTGTTTACATCTGCACACACATCTGTGAATGCATGTATGTCTATAGAATTTGTTATTTGGCCAGTATAAATACATGTCCTAGATAACTTCCTCTACATTTAGCCTGTCACACAGACCCATGGCTGCCTCACTTCTCCCGTCACAGAGCTGACATACACCCAAGGCTGACGCAAGCCCCATCCCCACTCTGGCTGGCCTTGAACTTGTGACAGCCTTCTTGCCACAGGCTCTTGAGCGCTGGCATGACAGGTGCCATTATGGTCTCAGTGCACACCCCTGAGGCTTCCCCGGGAGACGTGGGAATCAGCTGCCCTCTCTCCTCTGGGGACTATCCACTCTCAAACGGTGTGGGTGTGCATCTAACCGAAAGAGAACACTGTGCTCTCATTGGCTAGTCAGCCTTTCTCTTCAGCCTGTCCTGTCCGGAACATACGAATCGGGGAGTGGATCTAGAAACGCAGATGAGAAGAAGGAAGGACAATGAGTGAAATAACAGGTCTGGCTCACTGCACAGAAAGGGTCCGCTCTCTGTTTAAGTTGGAAAGCACCAGTGTCTGCAAAGCTTATGATGACGTTTTCTTTGCAAAGCCAGCTAAACGCAAACATTAGCAATGACGATACGATGTGAAAACAGGCGGGCAATCAGGTCCCCCAGCCATCCTTGGAACAAATGTGGGGTGAGAATCTCTACTTGGAATTTTCTCTATTCATCCGGGACTGAGGGGGTCACTTTGTGCCCAACCTACAGGCTGGGAGGACGGCTGAGCAGCGAGTGGTTCCTGGCACAGGGAAGAGAGTCTGGGAGAAATGCGGTCAGTGATACCCTTTGTGTTATGGATGCTGCTCATCATTCCAACGTCGGCTCCACCATCACTCCCTCGGGGAAGTCTTTTTGAGCTAGCCTCCAATACCAGCTCCGGCCCTCCTTCAAACCTGCAAGGCCCCATTATTCCTCCTTTCTCAGCACTTTCCATGGCCCGAGGACACATTACAGAGCGATGTGCGCATGTCCCACGCGCCCTCCTACTTGTCAGGAAGCTCCAGACAGGCAGAAACCTGATCAGTGTCTCTCAGCACTTACAGGTCCTGGGGAAGGGCAGGGCTTGGTGCTGGTTAGGGGCCTATACTCTCTTCAAATATGAGGCCTTCCTCGTATTTGTGTGTGCATGTGTGAGCTAAAAATTAAATATATATCTATATGTGTATGTATTTTTTTGCCAAGTGTGGTGACTCACGCCTTTAATCCTAGTGCTTGGGAGGCAGAGGCAGGCGGATCTCTGTGAGTTCACAGCCAGTCTGGTCTCCAGAGCGAGTTCCAGGAAAAGGCGCAAAGCTACACAGAGAAACCCTGTCTCGGGAGAAAAAAAAAATTCTATTGTGGAAAACATTGGTAACATTTGCCATTTTAAATGGTCAATTCTGTGCCATTATGGTATTGCCAATCACTTCCTCTGTTAATTTCATGAGCCCTTTTCATGCTGGAAGCTTCTATTTCAACCACCACACACACCGAGACCCCCCAATATGCAAGAGAGTAATTCTTAGTATCTACTGCTTTAAGACGTACATGATGACGGAGTTGGTACCATGGCTTCTATGACAGCTTTCTGTGTCTCTGTACTATAGTTACATAAACGTTTATTCTATGTAAGTTCAGAAACAGGGAATGCATCAATACGTGAGACCCAAGATCAACCCAAAGCAAACGCTGTCATATGTCAGGAGTCTACACCCACAGTGTGATTCCCTCCTCTTGCTGGGTTCTATTGCTGGGAGTAGGTGTGTGTGTGTGTGTGTGTGTGTGTGTGTGTGAGAGAGAGAGAGAGAGAGAGAGAGAGAGAGAGAGAGAGAGAGAGAGAGAGAGACCAGGCCAGCTGTACTCTGAAGCTTCCCACCCCCCAGAGTAATTTTTTCTTACTACAAATGGTGGGGAGCTCACAGCCATGGTGCTTTCTGCGTACACACTTGCACACACAGGAAGAAGCAACGTTCTGCAAACAGACCTAGTCAGTAGGGCAAGTTATTGCCACACACAATACTCAAGTCCATTAGCTAAGAATGTGGGCGTGATGCCTCAGGAAAATAATATACTGAGTTTCTTCCTTATCTATAAGTACTCAAATATGCTGTCTTAATCATTTTCTTTCAAGACTTGGATTAAATTCACTTTCAAAATCATGGCCCTCTCTTTCCCTTTTCTGTGTCTATTACTGTGAGGGTTGAAGTTATGTTTTAAGTTTAAATTACTGTGCTTAAGAGATCTATAAAACAGAAGAGCCTCCAACCTGTAAACCCCACCTGTCCAAGGACAGACAACTTCATGGAATGCTGGGGGCTGTTGGTCATGTAAAGTGACAAGCCACACGTTTTCCCTTCTGTAAACAAGCTTGGCTGCCTCCACTGTACGGGATGTGCCTGATCACACAAAGGCGGGAGGTATACAGGCAGGAAGCACATCTGGACATGTGCTTGCCCCTGATTGGATGAAGGTGGGGAACATGTAACTTCGTGGGTTTGCCTTTGTAAGCCTCTGACTAATGTAATTTGGCACCACACTCTGGGAATCCTGGGTGTGGACCTGGACAGTGTCCATTGTCCTGGCCAATATTTAATAAAGCTTCCTTCAAATTTGGCTCAACAGTTATGGTAGTGGTCTTATTCCCGCCCAGCGGGATCAACATTACCTGTTACGGCATTTTTGCAGCAGTTCTGGTCAGCACTCTCTTGTGGGCGTCTGACTTCCCCGCTCCCCTGACACACAGGATTCACCACTTGGGGTGCTACACAAGTGACTGTGTCCCTATGCACCCTGAAGATGACATTTAAACCTTATAAACGTCATCTCTGCATCAGTATGGATTTATCAGTATCAGTGGGTTTAAGAGCAGAAAGAATATTACACTATCTAAACGATGAAGAGACTGGGGGGATGGAGGGGTAGAGGAATAAAGGAAGGAAGGGGGATGGAGGGAGGGGAGCAGGGCTAACTAGATTTGGTGAGTTATTAAAAAGAAAGAAGAGGGCATGAAGATGGGATGGAGATATTGGGAGTTCTGGGAGAATGGGAGGCCTCTGTTGGGGGTCTGGGGAATGGGAGGCCTCTGTTGGGGGTCTGGAGAATGGGGGGCATCTGTTGGGGGTCTGGGGAATGGGAGGGCATCTGTTG